TCTAAAATATAAGCAATCGAAATGGATAGCATTAACTTTGTGGTCGACCTCATCGTGACTAACTTTGACAGTCCCGATATAGAAGATTTCAGTAGTATGCAAATTGTGGCCAAGTTTGGTGGCACAAAAATAATTCTGCCAGCCGACTGCATAAATGTGTCCGACTTCAAAACTGGTGCGGGAGTGGATATCGCAGCACCATCGGCAAAGTTGCGCAAAAACCTTGAGGACAATGGAGTGACGATGGTGGTCTCATACAGGAGTAAGACCATCGGTGCCGGTCAGATAGCTGTGCCCCAAGACATCATAGACATGATAGAAGCTGGAATGTCTGATCTGTTGTATGTAGACACCTGCACCATTGAGAAGGAGGGCGTGTATGTTGGCAAGGCAGAAGTGCTGTGTCGCATCGTCATCAAATGTGATGATCTGGAAATGGAGTTAGTAGACCTATGTGTAAAGTATAAAAGTGTGGCACCTACATATATGCATCATATGTTTTACAGGGAGGAGAGGATTGAGTGCGTGCGCAATGTGGAGAAAGCGATTAATAAGCAGGACATCCTGTTTGTTTTGGGTAAGCCGCAGGAATGTGCTCGCGTTTGTGATCCTTGCCAGGAAGTTTTGGAGCCAGATGAGGGCGATGAAAGGCTTAATCTAGATTTAGGACGCTACAGAAGCTCAGCGACCAAGGCCCAAAGAGTAACTGCGGCAACTACCACAAGTGTGCCCATAGGAAGCAATGCCTGCTGTCAGCTAAAGGTGAGAGTGGGTGCAAGTGGCTTAAATCGTCGATTAGTTTTTCCTTAGCGCCAGTGAAATATTGTCTATTTGCAGCAAATGACAAAGGAATGTGAGAAAATGATTAACTCCCTTACCTCTCGCTTTGGCAAGCCAAAGGCTGTAACGTCGCTATGCTGGGGCCCAGACGGAAAGGATCTGGGCGGTACTTGCAGTCCCATCAACCAATACTATCAGGATAGTGCTATGCCAAGTGATTTACGTGGTCCATGCTTCTCCTATATACCAGCACGTGAAGGCTACAGTCCCGACTTTTGTGATCCGACTCTGATACCAGCGCAAATCAGTGACATAAATAAGCCATTCATAAAACCACCTCGCTTTTGTCCCATCTGCCTGACCAACATGTCGTGGCTTCCCAGACTGGCTGACTGTCCCAGATGCGGTGCCAAGGCTATGCCGGTCATTGAGGCACGGCATCGGGAGAAGAAACTCACATCAGAGCAAATAATATTAGAGGTTTTGGGAGAGCCGAAGCTCGACTCCGAAATGTGCGAGGATCCTTGCCAAAAAGCGGAAAGGGAGCGTAGGGAGAGGAGCGAAGGGAAGGATGGGAGCTTTGGTGGGGGAAGCAACAAAAAGTGCGAGTGCAAGGGTGGCCAATTTTGTGCCCACTGTCGCATACGTCAACTCTGTGCAGGCATTTTTAAAGCTGCCAAAAATGAAGTAGAATGCCCCAATGCTACGCCAAGTGCCTCCGAGGACTTTTGTGTGAAAGTGACTGACCCTCAAGAGTGCACGACACATTTGACACACGTGTTCTCTGAACTGCGGGACTTGTACCGTATGAAAGACATGCAACGTAGAGAATATTGTGGACATAAGCCCGCTAAAAAGCGTCCTTTAAGAAAAAATAACAGCAAGCATTAAACAATTTGGAAAGAGCCAAACGAAAATGAAGACTAGCTTACTTACCCCTTAGCATTTGCTGAGCTAAGGATCATTATATAGAAAGAGAAAGAAGAAAGCTGCTACAATGAAAGTCTTTATTGGACCTCAAACACTCTCAAACAGTTTGACGGGAAGACTGGTCCATACATAGAGCCAGATGGAGCACCGCTGCAGGGCGCAAAACTAAATTTTTATCATTGTTCTATTCAATTCTGACTAAGAATCATAAGAAAGTTGATGATATATGTATAGAAGGCAACTTAGATACTAATCAAAAATAATAAGATATTTAAAAGAAAATTAAGCATTTGTTTATTGTTTATCTTGCTCGAAAATATGCTTTAAAATGTCATCAAAATGGGTTTGTATTCGAATTGGAATATATATACGTATAGTTTGATTTGATTAGAAAAGCTAGCCGCGTAGATAACGACGGCAAGCAAATGTATTATTTTTATCATAGTAGCATTTGATTTAGAACGTGTACACATCCAGAGCTTCAGAAATCAGATTTTGAAAAATTCTTAAGTAATGCAATAGTATTGTCTGTAAAAAATTAATGTAGAAAACACTAAAAAAAAATTGTAATTAAATTTAATGTACTAAATACCATTGCAAGAGAACCCCTTTCAAAATTTTTGGTTTTACTCGAAAAAGCACAGACCCAGAGCTAAAATTTCATTGTAATCTAAAAGCAATCAAGCAAACTGCACAATGGAGAGCATCAACTTTGTGCTCGACATTGTCGTTACCCAGTTGGAAAGTCCCGAAATTAAAGATTTCAGTAAGGCGCAAGTAACCGCGAATTTTGGCAATGCAAAAGTGAATCTGTCAGCGAGCAGCATAAATGTAACAGACTTCAAAAGTGGTGCCGGAGTGCTTCTCAAAACTTCACCCAAAAAATTACGTAAGAGTATTGAGGATTGCGGCATAGTGTTGACGGTCTCGTATAATAATAAGGTGATCGGGACCGGCCAAATATCTGTGCCTCAAAAGACAATAGATTCTATAGACGCAGGAATGTCAGATTTAATGTATGTGGGCTGTTGCCCCTTTGAAAGGGAAGGCGAGTATGTTGGCAGAGCAGAAGTGCTATGTCGCCTCATCATTAAATGCGATGAGCTGGCCAAGTGAGTGAATCCCTGTGCATAGTTGGTTCTTATTGACCTTATATGCGTTATGTTTCTTACAGTCAGGTACAGACTCCATGCGTGAGTAATGTGGACAAGGCGATCAACAAGCAGGACATCATGTTCCTGTTGAGTGATACCCAGCGATGTCCGAGCTTTTGTGATCCCTGTCAGGACGCGTTGGATGCAGATGAAGGTGATGAGAGGCTGACACTAGATTTAGGACGTTATCGTAGCCCCACCGGCAAGAGTCAGAGAGTATCAGAAATTTTTACACATAAGCCAACAGGATCAAAGGCTTGTTGTGAGCTCAAGGTAAGTCGACGAGTGATTTCCTTACGACTCTGGAATTGAGCTTTGATTTTGTTGCAGCAAATGGCAAATGAGTGTGAACAGATTGTTGATTCTATTACCGCTCGCGTAGGCCAACCCAAGGATATCAAGCCACCCTGTCGGGTGCCAGAAGGCCCAGAACTGGATGGTGTTTGTAATATACCGAGCCAATATTTTCAGGATAGTATAGCACTGGCTGATGCGTATGGTCCGTGTTTTTCGTATATACCAGCACGACAAGACGATAGTCCCGATTTCTGCGATCCCGCGCTAATACCTGCCCCAATCAGTGACTTAAATAAGCCATTTATAAAGCCACCACGCTTTTGTCCCGTCTGTCTGGCCAACATGTCATGGCTTCCCAAGCTGGCTGCCTGCCCCAAGTGCGGTGCCAAAGCAATGCCGGTGCTTGAGGAACGGCACAAAGAGAAAAAATTGACTCCAGACCAGATCATACAAGAGTATTTGGGAAAGTCCACCAATGCTGATCATTGCGAAGATCCCTGCGAAAAAGCGGAAAGGGAGAGAAACGATGAGGACGAATGCTCGAAAAAGTGCGAGTGCAAGGGTGGAAAATTTTGTGTCCACTGCCGCATACGTCAGCTCTGTGCGGACATTTTTAAAGCTACTAAGAATGAGATGATATGCCCCAAGGTTAAACCGAAATCCTCCGAAGATTTTTGTGTGAAAGATGAAGACTCTGAAGATTGTAAGCCATATCTAGCGCGTGTGTTCTCTGAACTGAGGGACTTATACGAGATCAAAGACACGCTCCGCATTAATAATTGTGGAATGAAACAGGACGAAACAGGAGGAGAAACATGCTCGTTGGAAAAAATACCGGTCAATAAGACTGTAAAAACTGCGAAAAGTTATAAGCCAATCAAACGCAAGCCACCCGTTTTTAGCAACCTGCACAAGAATTGCGTGAAGTCGGAAGGGGTAGTCGCTCGTAATCGTGGCTGGGCATGGGGCCTAAGGGAGGAGGCATGGAAGTACGGCTGGCGTCCAGGATTTGTCAAAAAGTCCGTCAAGCGTCTGATGGATTTCTTCTTACGCTACTCTCCAGATGACACTGCTTTCAATTCCTGCACAAAAGTGGAAGAAGAAGAAGCAATGAGGAAAGAAGAAGAGACACCGACTCTGAACGTATGCAAAAAGAATGGCGAGATCCTAGTCACACTGCAACCGATCAACAATGGAACTGTGCAAATGAAACCGATTGTGTTCAAGGTAGTCAAGAGTGATCTAGCCGTTGCTCTTAGCGCCATCAAGAGGAAGCTCAAAGCAAAGGGCTTCCCCAAGTGCACCTGCCACAATACGGTGAGAATGTGTGTCTGCCGGGACCCGATAGCCAAGAAGCATCTCGAAGCGGCGATAGAGAAGGAAAGCAAACGTTGCGGAATGCAGAGCTGTGTGAACGAACTGGTGCTCACCGACACCAGTGAGAGCGATATGGAGTACGATTTTAATGTGTCACCGCCAGCGGCTTCAGCATCTCCGCGCTCAAAGCCCATCACTATGAACAATGGCACTCAGACAGCCAAGAAGGATTCAGTAGTACCATCAAAGTATCCAACTAAGCTGGGTCCCTATTGGCGTCAATATGACTGTGCGGCGGGCGATCGCTACACCGGCACAGCATTTGGTTCCCCGGGTGAGATTGTGTTTGAGGATGGATTCTTTGGACACGGGGGCGGCGGACCACACGGGGCTTCTGCTGCTCCGGGTGGAAGACCGAAGGTCCCAGGAATATGGGGCTCCGGGCAGGGCGGACCTATGACTGGTGGTGGACGCTCCGGGGGACCAGGCGGACGAGGAGGACCAGGTGGCAGAGGAGGGCCAGGCGGACCAGGCGGTCCAGGGGGTCCAGGCGGACTAGGCGGACCAGGTGGTCCACTAGCTGCCCTCTTTAAAGACAAATCGTTCCCCGGTAATAAAAATAAAGAAGGCAAAGGCAAGAGCGCCCCAATCCCAGTTCGAATGCCCAAAAAGCACTATGAGAAGCTAAAGCAGGCCGCTAAGGCTAAAGAAGCGGCAAAGCTTAACGAGATAGCCAAAAAGAAGAAGGGCGTTAACCTCATTGATTACTTAATGAAAGATGGCGCTATTAGCAAACCCTGGGACCCGAACAATCCACCCCCAAAGAAAACCGCCAAGGACTTGCTAAAGGAGGAAATAGAAAAGAAGGAAAGACTCCAGGCTGGAGAACGCAAACGACGCGCCCTACTGGGCACGTGCATACCCCCCCTCGAAAGTATGCCGCGTCTGGGCAGGGGCTACGATCCCTGCCAATGCTACTACAATCCCTGCCATCCATGCGCAGCCCAGTGTTGCTATCCGTGTTGGTCCTATCAGTAGTAGCACTCAAATACCAGTAAAATGCCAACGTTCAGTTGTCTAGAATAAACTTTTACAATAAACTATATATCATAATTGAATTCTTCGGAATGGGATTGGGATTAGAGTTTGTACTCCATGAGCTATCAAGAGAAAGTTTTGTGAAAGGAGCGGGGGATTCTTGTGCTATAGCTTCCCTATCGCAACATTTAGTTTATACTATATAAATTAGTCAACATCTCTTACTTTGTCACACGAATTACGATTTATTGTTTTACAAACAAAATTATTTTACAAGTTTTTAATACTCGCTCTTCTGGGACTTATTTGCATCTTTTAAGAAGCTAACGAACCCCAATCGCACAAAAGACACAATGAATGCTAATAGCTTTCTCTTCGACATTGTCGTCACAAAATTAAATGTGGCCAACATGGCTGTTAATGATGGCAGTAAATTGAAAGTGTTGGCAAAATTTTATAAAAACGAAATATGCCTAACATCTAGCCGCATTAATGTAAATGATTTTCAGGCTGGCTCAGCCACAGAATTCAGCGCGTCGGTAAGAAGGTTACGCGAAACCCTCAGACAGTGTGGGCTGGCCATGGCCATATATAACGATTCTACGGTTGTGGGCAGAGCTCAGATATACTTTCCTGATAGATACATCGAACGTATTGAGAGAGACATGTGTGACCTCATCCACACAGAGTCCGTTGAGATCGTGAGCCAAAGTCGAGTTGTGGGTACGATAGATATTCGCTGCCGTCTTATTATGAAATGCGATAATGAGTGAGTAAATCTTTCGAATATATAGAGCTAATATTAATGCTCAACACATCTTTGAAGCCCGCTAGACAATAACATTAACAAGCAGGATATCATGTTCCTTGTCAGCAATTCACAGCACTGTCACAATAGCTGCGAGCCTTGTGTAGAGGAATGGGAATCGAGTGATTTCGATAAATGCCTGGACTTGGATTTGAAACGCTATCAACGCTATAACGTGAATACTGATGAAGAAAAGTACTCGAATATTTTTATAAATAACAATAATGTTATTGACGCCCTCAGGCCACTTAAGGTTCTAGTTTTTTAATTTACATTGGCTTTTGTATAACTTCCTGATGCACAATTCTTCTTGCAGAAATTGGTAGAGGACTGCAAGAACATTATTGAATCTATAAATTTGAAAAGTGGTTGCGGTGATTCAGGTTTTAATTCAAGAGACAAAAACTATCCTGTTATATCCGTAGCTCACCGTAGCTCGGACTTAACCTCTGACAAGCTCGTTGATTGCTGCCGTCCGAAGCCGCCAGACATGATCGTCATTAATGAAAATAACCAACAGATAAAGCCCATTCGTTTCTGTCCTCTCTGTCTGAACAATATATCCTGGCTACCAAAATTCGCCGCATGCCCCAAGTGCGGCGTCAAGTCCATACCGGTTAAAAATGAATCTGACGACACGAATAATCTGTCGGCCGATCAAATATTGAAGGATTACCTAGGTAAGCCCCAGGCTAACACACTAGATTGGTCGGCCGATCCCAATGAACGGGTAATTGAAAAGGATGTTACCCAAAAACGCCAGTCCAGATGTAGGTGCTCCTGCGAAAACAAACTGTGTGCTCACTGCCGAATACGTAAGCTGTGCTCTGATATCTTTAAATCTTCTGAAGTGTCTGTTAAGCAACAGCCGTCCGACCATTGTGTAAAATCTGAGGACTCTCGTCCACATTTGGCCAAAGTATTTTCCGATCTACGCGATCTGTATAGTGTAAAGGACGCCAGAGACCGTTCGCTGCTCGATCATCAGTGTAAGGAGAGAAAAAACAATACAAATTTAGACACCGTTCCTAAAAAAGAAAAAACAGTATCTGGGGATAATAAACAACTCAACGGCTCAAACATGAGTCTCAAGGACAATAGGAATCAGAATGCAACAAAGAGACGGCGGACAACTCAGAGAGCCTGCGCGAGACAGCAGGCTTTGGTCTCGCGTCGTCATGGCTGGGATTGGTCTTCTACCCAGGAGGCCCGCAAATACGGTTGGAAACCAGGTGCAATACTCCGGCCCATCAAAAAGCTAATGGACTACTTTTTGTATTACCTGCCCGCTGAAAAAGCCAATATGCGTAGGGACAGATTGCAAGCCGAGCAGGAAATGAAACATCTGCCGCCGATTCTACAAGTGAGTAAGAAAGCAGGCGAAACCTACATAACTCTGCGAGCAGTGAATGACGGTAAGTTGGAGAAGAGCTCTATTGTGTTTAAGATAGTGAAGAGCGATTTTGCTGTGACTTTAAACGACATCAAAAAGAGACTTAAGGCCCAGGGCTTTCGCAAGTGCACCTGTCACAAGTCGTTGATGATGTGCGTCTGTCGCAGCATTGTTGAGAAAAAGCAACTTGA